TTTGGACTGTGGGGGAAACCGGAGCACCCGGAGGAAACCTACATGAACACGGGGAGAACATACAAACTCCACACAGAAATGCCAACTGACCCTGACTCGAAACAGCAACCTTCTTGCTGTGAGGCAACAGTGCTGACCACTGAGCCACTGTGTCGCCTCAACTAAAAGCATGTCTATTAAATTAGTTTTTCCTATTATGGAAGTCAATGTTTACAGGTTTTCAGCTTTTTTAAAAACATCTTCTTTGGTGTTAGAATAAATAAAGGTTTGGAACAAGTTGAGGACTAGTACACACTGAGTAAATTTTCATTTTTGAGTGAACTATCCCTTTAAGTTTGGATGTAAATGTGTGTGTGTGTGTGTGTGTGTGTGTGTGTTTTCAGCTGGTGTGCAATAATGATGTCATGACAGTGAATATGGGAGAAAGAGAAGAAAAACAGCTTCACACAGTGAGAGAGTAGAGAGATGGAAAGGGAGACAGTGTGAGAGTGAAAACAAAGGTCTAAAGATCCTGAGTGGAATCTATTAATGTAAAAGCTCTGAGGATGACAGACAAATGGCCTGGTTGGTCGATACTGGCAGCAGCAGTGTCTCCTGTCTGTTTTTATTCCTCCTCATATTGAGTTCACGACCACAAGGGCGACTCATTTGTTTTATGGAATATCTCTTTTCGGTCCTTCTCTCTCACACCATCTCTGTCCCAAAGGAAAGTGGTAAAAAGTCATTAAAAAAAGCAAAAAGACATGTAAAGGAGTGTGATGCGAGACACACACTTGAACATAATTCAGTTACTGAGAGAAGTGCTTTCCAGATATTATCATTACCGATGGACTAAACCTATTTTGACATTCAACAGAATCCTGAATAGCCTATAGAAAAGCATTTGATGTTGATTTCAGATCTCTTTTTGCTTTACACACATCCAGAGGCCAGGGTGCAGGGGGGAAATATGCACATAAACACATCTCATTTGCATTCATAAATGCATCTTTTTATCCATTTCAGTGCGTCTCAATTGAACCTCAATTCAAAACAATTTCATGCATGAGGAGAGCAGCATGGTGACCACAAGAGCCAGACAAGCCTACACACACAAACCACAAGCCCTCATTCAGTCCAACTTAAATAATGTGGAAATACTTTTGCAATCGTAATATATAAAGACATATTTAAAAAAAAGATGAATAGTGAAACTTAATGGAAGCCCGATACAAAGTTATTCAAAATGATATAACCTCTGTAACTTTTTTTTGTAGTTTTCCCCAGAATATTTTACATATACATTTAATAGTATATAATATTTTATCTTTTTATCTATTTTAAGTTTAATCAGGGGTAAAATTAATGCTATGTCACAGTTTATTTATTTATTTATTTATTTATTACAGCAGTTGTATATGTTACAACAGTGTTCATTTAGCAATGTTAACCACTGTAATTACTAGTGATTGGTTGATTTTTATTTATTTATTTATTTTTTCAATGAAGAAATGACAAATTTCTGTACTTTTTTGAAAATTTAATTTCAAAGCATGTGTGAAATACTGTTCCCAGGGCTGATTATGTCAAAGTTGATATTTAGCCGCACCATGTTGGTGTTTCTTAACATCCAACCCCCGACCTGGAGGACCAGGACATACACTTACACATACACTACAGACAATTTAGCTAACCCAACTAATCTTTAGATCATTTCTATGGACTTGTGGGGGAAATTGGAGCACCTGAAGGAAACCCACGCTAATTTTACACAGAATTGCAACACAGAAATGTCAACTGACCCAGCCCAGAGCTGGAACCAGGAGCCTTCTTGCTTGCGACAGCCATACCCTGCGCCACCAAAACAAGTGATGATACTAAATGATTAAACATTTATTGCTAGTAAATGAGTAAAATCTAGTGAATTGAAGGGCAGTGGCAAAGTATAAAGATTTATTATTAGTTTGTACTGGCGTCACGGTGGGGCAGTGGGTAGCACAATCGCCTCACAGCAAGGTCACTGGTTTGAGCCCCAGCTGAGTCAGTTGGCGTTTCTGTGTGGAGTTTGCATGTCCTCCCTGTGTTTGTGTGGGTTTCCTCCGGGTGCTCCGGTTTCCCCCCACAGTCCAAAGACATGCGCTATAAGTGAATTGGGTAAGCTAAATTGGCTGTAGTGTATTTGTGTGAATGAGAGTTGTATGGGTGTTTCCCAGTGAAGGGTTGAACCTGGAAGGGCATCCGCTGCGTAAAACATATGCTGGACAAGTTGGCGGTTCATTGGTGGGAATTAATGAATAAAATAGCATTGTTTTTAGATAAACAAGTATGTTCACGTATAATGCTTCTTTTTATACCATTGTCGTGCTTTAGAAGTGTCAAAAACAATCTAATACAAACTAAAGTCAGTTATTCTCCTTTGAAAATGTGCGTTCTGTGTCAGAATCTGTGTCAGGTTCTGCGTCTTTGTTTTGGTCTCTATAACCCACCCACTGCCAGTTTACCCAATTATATTTCTGTTTCCTTGCTGGAAAATGCACCATTTTTCATTTTAGTCTTGACGACTGCTTCAATGTATGCAGCTGCAGCCAAAAAAGTTGACCCCTGCAAGACAGCAGCAGCCTCTGAAATGAGACAGAAATTCAGAGTTATAAGAATATACGTAAGATGGTTTTTAATTAGAAATTAATCTACATATAAAAATTGTAAACATTAGCTGAGCAGCATATATTGTACCACCAAGGGAAGGAACAGGGGGATATGTCTCCAACACTTTTAGAGATAGGCCATTTAGAAACAGGTGATTAATAGTAAACATTTTAATCTTATTCAGCTGCACAAACGCACCCCCCAACACACACAAACACACACACACACACACACACACACACACACACACACACACACACACACACACACACACACACTTTTAAAATGTCCATTATGCCCCTGATACCACCCTGTCCCAACAAGCAATTTGACTGTCTGCACCAAACGCAACACAACCGAAATATTTAAATATTAGCCTTTCAGGAGGACAAAATAGAGCACTTGCTGAACTTTAACTAAACGGTAAGGTTTAAAATCTAATTAATACATATTAAACCTCTTTAAGATTATTCAAGTTAGATCTAACATTCATTTTCAAATATGTTTATTTTATTTCCAAAATCGGAGGTAAACTCTGCAGCTGTTTTCAATATGGCAACAAATGTCAAGTACAATGAGATTCAAACTCATATTAGTAGCATTTAGCACAGAAGAAGCACATGATCAGTACCCGAGGTGATCGTTGTCTCAATAGTTCATGCCAGCCATGACAAATAAAAACAATAAAATAGAAGTTTTAGGTGATGGTTTGAACAAAAACTCTGTTAACATGGTAAAGATTCTTTTTGTCACGTCACTTAAGTGTTGTCACTTGTAGTGTAGACTTGATAGTCAAGCATGCATGCTCGTGTTGGTGATGTCAATCTGGCAACTTGCACTTGCGTGGAGTCATTGAAGTGGCCAGGTAAAGTGTTTTGAATTAGCAGTGCAATACCTAGTTCCACCATTAAGTGTCAATCTTACATAATTTGCAATGAACAACACAACTAAAGGTGAACAACAACTTTGTTCAGCCTAATTTCATCTTTTTAATGTAAATTTAGTTTTTAAAAAAATATTATTTGCTGAGGTATTCTGAAGAAATGGAAAATGAAGGATTAAAATGCATTTTTCATTAGTTTTTTTTTTTTTTTTTTTTGATGGTGTGAGTTACACAAAAAACTGTAAAGTACCGGAAAATGTAGCTTTTAAAAATTAAGCTTTATTAAATAGAAAATTACTTTGCATTAAAAATAAATAAATAAGCTGCATTAAATGGAGAAATTAAATTGGGGTAATTAGAATAAAATATTGGGCTAACTACGAAAAATAGGTTGTAGTAACTAAACAAATAAGTTGGTGTAACTAGAAAAAAATATGTTGGGGTAGCTACAAAATTAAGTTGTAATAACTAAAAAATAAGTAAAATATTGGGACATCCAGAAAATCAAGTTAAAACACATTTCATCGAAGCATATATTGTTGTGTTTCAGTATTGACAATTTTAAAGTGGGGAAAATATTCCAATATCTTCTGAAAATACAATGTAATAATAAACTACAAAGTTCATAGAAATGTGTACACTGTGTGTTTTACAAGTTGCATACAAAAATTTCAGAGGTTAAAAAATCAAGATTTTACAACTCTGAATTTAGCACATTTAGATTTCTTAACATGCATTTAGTTTGCATTTATTTTCAATATTTATGTTAAGTTCACACTATTTAAAAAAAAAAAAGAAAATCTTATTAAATATAAAATGAAATCAGAAATGGTTCTTCTGTGGCATCACTGTGAAGACACCCTATTTTAAAAGTGTAATCCTGAAATGTAGTTTGGTTAATCTCAGGATCTGTTCTTTGTTGCCACATATATGTAAAATTGGTATTTGCCCGTGTGTCCATAAAGGGGCGCCAGAGATAAGGTTAAGAGGGGCTCATTAACGCCACTGAAACTCAAATAAAGGCGCATTTATCAGCTCACCTTTACCATGTCAGCATTAGAAAAAACACAGTCACGTTAGAATAACATGACATGTACATTAAAACTGTAACACCCCTGCAAAATAAAATAATAAAGTTATTGTCGATATTTAGTTGTGTATAAAGAACGAAAATGTTTGACATTTTGAAGTCTAAAATCCTGTCATTAATATTTAAACATTTACTTTAAAATTACCTTTATAAAGAAGAGATGTGTTCCTAAGCATCCGTTCAAAAAATGAAAAAAAATTTTTTATCGTTATTAATGAAACACGATTTGAACCGTAAGGTGCTCAAATCACCACAATATTCTACACGCATGCAAAACAAACAACATAGACAAAGACACAAAACCGATGCTTATTTAAGTCCTCCCCTTGAGTCCAACATCCAATCAGAACTGACTCTTCCGGATTGTGGTCTCCGCCTATTGGCTGCACGATCTGTCAGTGGCAACAGTCCATATATTTTCGGCCGGGACAGGACAGCAGCAGCTCGGGCAGCAGAGAAAGTGAGAAATAACTCCGTAAACTGGGATATTTGTGATTGCGAGGGCCGATGAGCGAACAAAATCATATATGAAGGTAATTGTTTTAATATTTTACGAAAATAGGACTTCTTACGGAAACAATAGATAGAGGGTGCGAATGGGATCTGGAGAGCATGCTGCTGTTGAAGAGTCAATCTCAGATTCCAGGATGGATTTCTGTATTATCTCGCTATTATTATGATATCTTCACATCGGTTTCAAAAAATAAACACGGCTTTTAAAAAAATTTATTTTATATTTATCACTTAATCGTACTACACTGCACTTAGTTTAATAAAATTGGCTATAATAAGAGAATTGTTGGGTATATGATCTGTATTGTCTGTTTATTGAATGTTATGAAACACAGTGCTAGTAACAGCATTTGGAACTTATTTCTATTTGTCCCGAGCTGATGTCAGATGTCTGACCGTTGATGCTTAACATGTTAGAGAAGTGCACTGATTGCTTGTTTAGCAGTATGTGAAATTGTCCATATGTTCAGGTGATTTTTTTACACCCTGAAAGGAAAGCTTTGTGTCCAGCAGGAAATCTGATCTCCACAGCAGTGTTTTTTTGCTGAACAGTGCTTGAATTTATGGCTCTTATTCCTAATCACATAGCTTATAAAAGATTAACCGTCCTCTGATTCTTGAGGCGTGGGACAAAACTTCACCTGCTATTTAGTTACTAAATGAGGAACATTTCCACTTTGCACTTTCAACCTTTTCTAATTAATAAGTTATGTTATGTTGATATTTGAGTACTTGTGCCCTTTAAGCATAACTTAACTCGTTATAAAATTTAAAACAGATAAACAATTACATGATTTTAGAAGCAATTTTTTAAGGTTTGACAGCTGTCATCTACTCTTACTGATCTCCATTAAATATTTACTAAGACATTTATAAACTTGTAATTGCATGATTTGGGTTTACTTTAATATGACTCTTTAACATTTAACGCCTGCTATGAATTCAGCAACCTCACAAGTCACTTAAAGGTTGTTTTTAAGTCCCCATAATGTTTATATATATATATATATATATATATATATATATATATATATATATATATATATATATATATATATATATATATGACCTTACATCTTCATTTGCAGAATTTGAGTACAATTAAGCTGTTTTTGTAGCATATGGCTTTAAATGCAAATGAGCTGCTTCTCCCCGCCCCCTGTAACATGCATGCCTGCTTTTCATGCATTACAACGGTTAAACAGCAGTCAGTGATAGAGACAGACTCGGATGAAGCTAATATACAGCTCATTAGTCAAAAATAAGTAAGTTAAGTTTATTTATTATATTTGTGGTGGAGTTTATTCAAGCCTTTCTGAAATGGTGAGTCTCACACAAACGCCGTTTGCGGTACACACACAAACATATGCATTTGCTGACACCGTTCGGTGGTAATTATAGCAGTTAAGAATTACATAGCGAATTTACAGATTTTAATATCAGATAATTTAAAAAAAAAGAGACTTGTTGGGTTTACATTGCTTCATCATGACAGTGAACACACTATACCTACACACAGTTCTGTCCAAACAGCTTCCAAAAGTTGATTTTCATCATAGGTGCCTCTTAAGTAGCAGTTCACCAATGTGAAACGTGTTATTAAGTAAGTATAAATTAAGTTTTGTAGATGTTATATGTACAAAACATACGATTTTTAAAAGGAGGCATGCACACAAACCCCATTCCAAAATTCTCATTGGAGTATGAGCAAATTGTACTAAAATGTATGAATCAGATGATAGAAATTTATAAAAATTAGCCAATAAATCAAATAGTTAGGAATTGCTGTGAGATTACATTGCAAAATCATGCAGAGAAGCAGTGTTTATTGTCAGGACAAAGTATTAGTGTTACTTCAGCACTCTCATTATAATAATCAAAGCTGCAAAATTAATCTCTTCATATCTGCTTTTTCTTGCGAAAGCACAGAATTCAGTCAGTAAGTGCACACACTCCAGAGATTACTAATCCAAACATGTCTGATTGGCTATTGTGTTCAGTAGCTTAATAGAAACGTGTGATTGGTCTGATGCAATAAAAATGTTTACATAATTTTCACATTTCACATCACATTGGCATTCATTATAACAGCAGAAGGGGACCACTTTTTTTGGTGGAGCTTGTACATTTGCATGGAATTTTGGTTTATTTTGTTGTTATTTTTTTACCACTAACCCTTGTTAATTTCTGAACATTGTGATAGACATACACTTGTTCATGCGGATGTTGAGGAAACACAAACCATTGGCCTTTTGTAGGTTTACAGAAAGGATAGGCCTATATAATGAACAGATCTTCAAACTAATTGTTTAGACTTTGAGAAGGAGGTGGTGTGAAATGTAAAAATTTATATTTTAAGTAAATGAAATTTTTTGACCTTGGATGTATGCAAACCTCAAATAGGAGACCAAAGCTAAACACAATTGGAAACCTTTATAAAAAGCATAATTGGTTGGGTTCTGTAAAAATTACACGTTATATATTTCATGTTTTTTTCTCGACACTTACATGTATTCTTCATGTTTTGTTAACTGGTTTCTCTTTAAGAATAATCTACAGTCCTACACTTGGGTATCTGTAATGAATTGTGGCCATCAAATTGACTTGTCAGAGATTTGAGTATTATTTTGACCGTTTTCTTAGTTCATTTTGTGTATTATCTTGAAATAAACAAGTAGTGATTTAAAAGAGCAAAGCTGTAAGTGTTTGTCAGTGGTTGAAGGGCAAAAATGCGGTCTAGCCTGTATGCGGTGAAATGTTCTGTTTTGACTGGCATGCCAGAATCAGTCACTTGAGAACTGGGTTGAAGACATTCTCTCGGGTCAAGACGTAATTACACCAAAGAAGAGCTCTTTCTGTTCTGCAGATTCTGCTGTGGCTGCTGTAGGTCAAATGTGCCCATTTAATGTCCAATTTTCCTTGTTTTAGGATGCTGCCCATAATATTCTAAATTGAGTATTTTGTTTTTTAGTAGCAATAAGTAAAGCCATGCTCTGAAAAACAAATGTCTCTGCAAATAAGAAGAAGCTGCAAAAAGTAAGGATGTCACTGACATATGAGAGGTCTGAAAATGGGTTGTCACATTAGAAACCACTGGTTTGTTTGAGTTCCACTATAAACACATTTAGTTCAGTTGCAGCTCTGAGGTAGCAAGGCTTACTGAAAACCATAGTACTTCAGTAGACTAAAGTTAACTGGTAAAAAGGCTGCATTTAGGGTTTAGTCTATAGTGACCTCATTAGAACTTGGTGAATAGTTTAGGTTTACAGTAGCATGCCAAATCACTGCAGCAAGTGACTTTATGTAGGTATTGTTTTTATGGGTGTGTGTTGTTTATTGTCTAGATTAATATGGCATTTGTTGTTTTAACAATGCACAAGCCAACATGATCAATGTTAGGTACTTTGCCAAAAACAAAAGAATGTCCAAACTAAGTTCATACAAACATTTTAAAAACCATACATGGATAAGATCAAAACTTGTTGATGTAACAAGGAAAAATCTTTGAGTATATATTAATAAATTCAGTCAGTTAAACCCAACACAAACATTTTAATTCAGTTAGCTGCAAATGTTACATAGACCTATTAAAACCCTGTTGAAATTACAAGTTTATATTGTGTTCATATAACACGTTTAAAGCATTTGTTTAGATGCATTTGTTTAGATGCACAATGGGTGCTACGATTAAATCATGTTAATTTCATTCATTTTCTTTTCAGCTTAGTCTCTTTTTTTATCTGGGATCGCCAAAGCAGAATGAACCGCCAACTTATGCAGCATATGTTTTATGCAGCAGATGCCCTTTCAGCTGCAACCCATAACTTGGAAACACCCATACACACTCATTCACACACATACACTACGGCCAATTTGAGCTCACCCAAATTACCTGGACCACATGTTTTTAGACTGTGGGGGAAACCCGAGGACCTGGAGGAAACCCATGGGGAGAACATGTAAACTCCAAACAGAAATGCCAACTGACCCAGCCAGGGCTCGAACCAGCGATCTTCATGATTTTGAGTGTGCTATTCGATCACATTATGTAAATATTTTTTAATCACTTAATAGGTCAGACTTGTCACCAACTAATAGTACTTTCAAATTATTTATTTATTTACTGACATACTTACTTATCCACACCCTATTTTGAAGTCAGGCCACCATTATTTAAATAGTGCTTTATACAAAACAATGTTTTAATGTAGCTTTACTGTAATAAACATGAAAATGACAATCAACGAAGCATCAAATATTAAATTAATTGATATTCCTCTGGATAAATTCAGAATTCATTCTTTTTCTTTCAGCTTAGTCTCTATTTTAGAGGTTGCCACCTAACTGCCAACTGTTCCGGCATATGTTTTACGCAGCGAATGCCCTTCCAGCCACCACCCAGTACTGGGAAACACCCATACACACTCATTCATACAATGTATGTGTTTGGACTGTGGGGGAAACCGAAGCACCCAGAGAAAACCCACACAAACATGGGGAGAACATGCAAACTCGAACCAGTGAACTTCTTGCTGTGAGGTGACAGTGCAAACCACTGAGCCACCATGTCACAATTCTCGATAAACTCAGAATAAAATTGTTTTTTTAATTTTTTGTTTTATCTCAGATTAAATTAATGATTAGTTGCCCTCTTATAAATATTCATTTGTTTAATTTATGAATTAAATTGCATTTTTAAACAAATCACTTCAACGAATGATTCAGCGATATGCATTTTGATTGGCATAACAAATCTAAAAAAATCTAACAATAAATATAATCATTCAAAGCATCAAGTTAAAAGGTGATTTCTGTGATCATTTGAAACTTTTCAACAGATGACAATGCAACACTGTGTGTGGTTTAGACTGGAGATATTTAATAACTGTACATATCACCTGCTATCTCTGTTTCAAAAGTGGACCATGATTGTACAATCACTCTCATTTAGGAATAAGAATAACAACAAACAGAAGTTGTAAACTTGTCATTTCTCAAGTCAAATCAATTCCATGTTAAT